TGATGAAATGGGCTTTATTCCAGGAATGCAAGGTTGGTATAACAGTTGAAAATCAATCAATGTAATTCACCACATTAACAGAAAAAATATGACTGTAAAACATAGGATCATCTCCATAAATGCAGAAAAAGACATTTTACCAAATTCAACATCCATTCCTCATAAAAGCTCTCAGCAAACTAGGAATTGAAGGGAACTCCATCAATTTGATAAAAGGTATGTATAAACAAGCTACACAACATTACACTCAATGGTAAAAGATTGAACACTTGTCCCCTAACATTAGGAACAATGTAAGAATATCTTCCCTCACCATTTGTATTTAGCATTGTAATAGAGGTCTTAGAACATTCAACAGAATAAAACAAACAAACAAAAAATCAAACAAAAAGTAAAAAGAGAAGTAAAGGTACTAAATTGGAGAGGAAGGAATAAAATTGTCTTTATTCTCATAGAACATAAATTTTGTATAACCAATCCTCAAGAATTTGCAAAACAGTGATAGAAGGAATAAATGAATTAATCAAAACCACAGAGTACAAGATAATACACAAAATTTAATTCTATTTTTACATATTAGCAGCCCAGAATTGGAAAAAGAAATTTAAAAAATACCAATTATAACAGCATTTGAACCATGAAATAATTAATAAAACCTCTGTACTAAAAGCTGTAAAATATTGCTGAGAGAAATTAAAGATGAGTTAATAAATGGAGAGATATACTATGTTTACAGATCAAAAAGTTCAACATTGTTAAGATATCAATTTCCTCCAAATTGAGCTATGAATTTCATGCAGTCTCAAACAACATTTCAGCAGACTTCAATTTTTTTTTGAGAAATCAGCAAGTTGATTCTAAAGTTTATAAGGTAATGCAAATAGCTCAGAATTGCCAAAACAATCTTGAAAAAAAGGAAAATATTAGAAGGCTCACATTATCTGATTTTAAGACTTAGTATAAAGCTACAATCACTAAGACAGAATAGTATCAGAGAAAGTCTAGACAAAAGGATTCATGAATAGGGATAGAGAGTCCAGGAATAGTCCCACAGATGCAGTGTCAATTGATTTCCAAAACGGCACCAAGGCAATTCATGGGGACAAAAAAGTGCTAGAGCACCTGGATAAGTATATGGCATAAAATTAAATTTGGCTGCTATCTCACACCAAACATGTAACAGATGCTGTGGTACACAGCCCACATTCCCCTTTAAGACTGAGGTACTTTTTCCTACGGATCCCAGGAGTGTCGCTGTTGTGGGTTGAATTGTGATCCCCTAGAATTCACATGTTAAAGTCCTAACCCCCAGTACCTCAGAATGTGACTGTATTTGGAGAAAGAGTTGTCATCTTCTTTTTATTTTTGGTGATGAAGATTGGCCCTGAGCTAACATCTGTTGCCAATCTTCCTCTATTTTATATGTGGGACACTGCCACAGCATGAGTTGATGAGCAGTGTGTAGTTATGCACCAGGGATCCAAACCCATGAACCCCAGGCCAGTGAAGCAGAGAACGAGAACTTAACCACTATGCCACTGGGCTGGCTCTGAGAAAGAGTCTTTAAAAAGGTAATTAAGGTTAAATGAGGTCATTGGCATGGACCCTAATCCAATATGACTGATGTCCTTATAAGAAGAGAAAATTAGGACACAGACATACACAGAGGGAAGACCATGTGAAGATACAAGGATGGCAGTCTACAAACCAAGGAGAGAGTCTTCCAAAGAAACCAACTCTGCCAACCCCTTGACCTCAGACTTCCAGCCTCCAGAATTGCAAGAAAATTTTCTGTTGCTTAGGCCACCCAAACTGTGGGACTTTGTTATTAGTTGCCCATTGATGGCTTACAGCTGAGTTCCTCCCCAGGAATTGCATTCAGTTGAAGAGTGCTTCCCCACCTAAGCTTATGTTCCTGCTCAGAGAGCAGCCTGCTTCCAATGACTGGGTGGTGTGATAGTACAGTAGTCCCCATGTTTCCACTGGGGACAAATTTCTGCACACGATTCTCCATCTCAGATCGTTTCAATGCCACTAGTTGTAAGCAAATCCTAAAATGGAATTTTGAAGCTGGGTCACCCATTAGCAGACTGGTCATGAATATCCCATTACTAATCACAGGTGAGGTACGGGTGTACCTTGGCATGCCATAACAGTGCAATTGTACTTCTACTGGTTGTGAATTGCAGGGTGATATGACTGGAAAGGAATGCACTGGGGAGGAGGCAGGGCAATATTTCAGGCATTTGAGAGGTTGTGGGGAAGTAGCAATTATAAGGACAATAGAATTTGATGGGTGTTGCTGAGGACTATTAATGCGCTAGAGAAAGAGAATGAATGATTGAGTGTGATTAATCACTAATTTAAAAGGCAGAAAGCCTACTTGGAAGCATATAAAGAAACTCTTGTTTCCTGCACCAGAGGTCAGAAATGCTGAGGAAAAGGCCAGGACTGATTTATAGAGAACATTGACTTCTCAACCTGGGCAGAACTATTTTGCTAAACTCATGGAATTATTGTTGAGAAGGAGTGGGACCCTGAAACTTGGAATACAACATTCAGGTCAATACACTCAAGTACGTTGGAATCCTAGATTCCCCGAACCCTCTAGGCCTGCAAAAGGGGACCCTCCTCCTTGTTAAATGTTAATGCTTCCAAGCAATGCAGAAGCCTTTCTTTTGCAGACCAGATACATTGCCTCCTCTTTCCTTCAGTTGTTTCTCATCATCCCTCCTGGCTGAGAGACTAATAACTAGGGTTATTCACAACATAATCCAGCTAAGAATGTGTTGAGTCTGCTAAGGGAGGAAGGGGACAAGATGATGAAGGCACTGCAACATTTAGCCCACATGTGCCAGCAAGAACCGGGAGAGTGTGTATGGGACTGGATCCTGAACATGCTGGATCAAGGGAGACAGAATATAAAGTTTAAGAAGGGAGAGTTTGTGGATATGGGAACACTCTCTCACGATACAGTATTTGACATCCTGGCAAGAATCCTGGGAGACAGTGCTATTATAGATTGGCTCTTGAAATCTTAAAAAAAGTGATGTTGCACATTTAGAATGTAGAAATGCCAGAATGCCTTGGCAAATGGTGGGGAAGTGATCAAAAGGCTTAGAGAAGTAAGCATGCTAGAGTGGAAACACTATTTCAGGCCATGAAGCTACCAGCAGACTCCTAGGTTGGAGGACCTGGAATACACTCCATTTACCAAAAGAAGCACCAGCATCACTGAGGAGGTCAGTGGTAGCTACTCCCTCTTGGCCAGGGCTAATGGCAGGAAATGATGGTACAGAACTAGGATTCTTGATATTAACAGGGAATATAGGATTCAAAAATAATGAAGGCAAGGTAGTAGCATTTAAACTTCAAAAACAAGGTAGCCATGATATTGTAATGAGAGAGTTATAAAGATGATGAACAGAATATGGCACTCCAGAGGGTGAGATTGATAGCCAAGCAACAAGGATATTGCTATCCAATACAACAGCCAATAGCTGCATGTGGCTATTTGAATTAAATCAATTAAACTTAAACAAAACAAAAAACTTAATTCTTCAGTTTCACTAGCCACATTTCAGGTATTCAACGACCACACGTGTCTAATCGCCTATATTGGACCGTGTAGATATGAAACATTTTTATGACTACAAGAAGTTCTAATGGACAAGTTTGGATGATTGGGAGGCTAAGACAGCTGTTCCAATTTCTTAAAATTACAATTCCTTTCCTAATTTTAGCCAGCTTTAGACCCAGAATCTATTGAATAAAGGAGGGATTATGTCTCCAGAAAGAAGGGCCCAGCAACATCAAAACAATATATAGCAGAATGATTTACCTAGTCCTTCCCCAAAGGAACATTGCAGCCATTTACTCAGGTAACTGCATTAGAGAAAGGGGAATAATCATATATTTCTGACATTTTGAGGGTTATGAGACACACAATCTAAGTTGACAATGATACCCAGGACCCAAAGCATCATCATAGTCCTCCTGTTAGAGTGAAGGCACGTGGGGTCAGGAATAGATAAAGTCATGACCCAGGTCTGGGATACGATGGGTCCACTGGACCCACAGGCCTCAGTCCCAAACTGTATAACTGAAAAGAAGATATTTGGTAGTTTACTGAACCCCCACATCCGTTCCTTGTTTTGTTGAGTATGAACTATAGTAGTGCAGGAGGCCAAGCGGAAAGCCACTTGACCAAGATAGGAAATAAAAAAAAATATTGTATCACAGGGGTAATGGCAGACATCAGTGCCATCTTAAAGACTTCAGGAATTCAGGGGCAGGCAGCAGTCCCATCATACTTCCATTTAGCTCAGCGATCTGGCCCCTATCCAGATCAGATGAATCCTGGAGGATGATAGTGGACTAGACAAACTTAATCAAGTAAAAGCCTCAAAAGTGGTTGCTGTACCACATGAAGTACTTTCTTTGTTGCTGGTGCCCTTGAGTCAATTCCAACTCTAGCAACCCTGTGTACAGCAAAGCGGAACCCTGCCTAGTCTTTTTGTGCCATCCTCTCACCTTCTGGCACTATATCAGGCAATGCTCTGCTGCTATTCATAGGGTTTTCATGGCCAATTTTTTGGAAGTGGGTGGGCAGGTTCTTCTTCCTAGTCTGTCTTAGTCTGGAAGCTCCTCTGAAACCTGTCCATCACGGGTAACTCTGCTGGTATTTGAAATATCAGTGGCATAGCTTTCAGCATGACAGCAACACACCGCCACCAGAGTATGACAACCGACAGGTGGTGTTCCCTGACCAGGAAAGGAACCCAGGCCATGGTAATGAGAGTGACCACCAAATCTTAACCACTAGACTGCTAGGGCTAGCAGATCTTTTCTAGAGATTAATATGGACTACCGTACATTGTAGGGGACCACTGATTTGGCGAATGCATGTTTCTCCATTCCTATTAGAAGGAAGACTAGAAAAAATTGACATTCATGTAGGGTGGACAACAGTATTCTTTATAATCTTTCTCCAGGGCTGTGTTAACTCTCCTGCAATCTGTCACATTATAGAATTAAAAGATCTGGACCATCTGGACTTTCTGCAGAATATCACTTTGATCTACCATATGGATGACATCACATTAATAAGACCAGATAAATAAGTGGCAAGTATATTGGAAGCTATGGTAATACCCATTTGCTGCAAAGGATTGATTATAAACTCTACATAGATTCAAATGAGCACCACATCAATGACATTTTTAGGTCTCCTGTGGTCTGTGGCATACCAGGAAATTCTTTCCAAAGTGGAGAACAAATTATTGCATCTTGTCCCTATCACCACTAAGAAGAAAGCATGACACCTAGGAGTCCTCTCAAATTTCTGGAGTCAGGATATTCCACACTTGGGAATACTCACCAAACTCTTCTCCCACGTTATTTGGAAGGCTAGCAGCTTTGAGTGGGGCTTACAGCAAAAAAGATTCCTGCAGCAGGTCCAGGCTACAGTGCAAGAAAATCGTATAGTACTAGAGTTATCTGTGATTGGAAAAAACATCATGAGGAGTTTATGACAAGACCACGCAGGAGAATCACAATGTAGATACCTATATGTCTGGAGCGAAGTCTCCCCATCTATAGTGGGTAAGTTTACACCCTTACAAAAATTGCTCTTTGCATTCTGTTGAGGTCTGGTAGAGACGGAACACCTGATCATGAAACATCAAGTGACTATGCAATCAGAACTGCCCACCCTGAGTTGGGTTCTGTCAGAATCTCCAAGTCATTAGATCAAGCCGGTCTAACACTAATCCATTGTAGAGATAAGTGGTACATTGCCATTGGACACAAGTAGAATCAGAGGGCATACATTAGCTGCACAAGCAGTTGGGACTGTTCATGATGTGTATTGTCATTTCTCCCTCTGTTCACACCCTTAGCTATTTTGGGGATTCCTTACTACCAGCAGACAGAGGAAGAAAAGTACGAAGCTTAATTCACAGGTAGATCAGTTTGGTAAATAGATGCAAACGAAAGTCGGACAATAGCTCAACTACAGCCTCATGCAAGGTGAATGGAAGAAAGGAATGAGGGAAAATTTTCCCAAGGTCAAACCTTGGATGGCAAAGCTAGTCAACTATTTGTGAGGAAGAAGTGGTCCAAGGTAAGAATATATATGAACTCATGGGCCAAGGTGAACGCCTTGTTTGGTTTTTCAATTGCCTGGAATGAGAAAGATTGGAAGATTGAGGATAAGAAAGTCTGGATAAGAAGCATATGGATAGACTTGTGAGTGTAGGCATAAAGTGTGAAGGTCTTTGTATTAAATGCATGAGCCCCCACTTACGAAGGCCAAGCTAGCCTCTGTCGTTGTAGAATGTCCAATTTGCAGGAGCAGAAACTGATACCGACCCCCCGATATGACCCTATCCCTTGAGAAGACCAAACAGCCGCTTGGTAGCAAGTTGATATTCCTGGGCTTGCCTTTCCTGCTTGCAGGACCTCAGCCAGCACCTGAGGAAAGGTTACAACTGAAAGGTCACAATTGTATTGCTTATTATATGTATCTGAACAGTTATAATGGTAGTCATTATATGAAGTAAGTGGATCCAAGCTATACAAGAGGTAAACTATACAGGTGCTGAAGTATGTACACCCCAATAAGCCTCTTACAAGGAAATCTCCATTTCAGAGTCAGTTTCCTAAGGAACACGATCTAAGGAAATACCCCGAAACTAATTTAAGATGATAATAAACCTAAATATAAATGCTAAAACTATAAAGTTTCTAGGAAAAAACCCATAAAATACTCTGTGACTATGGGACAAGCAAAGATATGTTAGGACACAATAAGCGCTAACATAGAAGAAAATTTGATACACTGGGCTTCACCAAAATTAAAAACTTCTACTCATCAAAAGACCCATTAACACAATGAAAAGGCAAGGCAAAGTCTGGGAGAATATCTGTGCAACACAGTTGTCTAACAAAGGGCTTACATCTGGAATATATAGATCTGTATATAAAAAACTTTTAACAAGTTAATAATAAAAAGAACAACATCCCGTTAATAAAATAGGCAAAAATCATTAAAATACACTTCCCAAAAGAATATATACAAATGGCATCTGAAAATGTGCTCAATGTCTTTCATATCAGAGAATTATAAATTAAAACAGTGAGATACCACTTTAGATCCACTAGAATGGCTAAAATTTAAAAGACTGAAAACACCAAGTGTTGAACAAAATGTGGAGCAACTGGAACTCTCATACACTGAGTAGAGAGAGTATAAAATGGTACAATCATGTTGAAAATCTGTTTGGTAGATTATTTTATTTTATTTTATTTTTTTGAGAAAGATTAGCCCTGAACTAACTGCTGCCAATCCTCCTCTTTTTTGCTGAGGAAGACTGGCCCTGAGCTAACATCCATGCCCATCTTCCTCGACTTTATATGTGGGACGCCTGCCATAGCATGATTTGCCAAGCTGTGCCATGTCTGCACCTGGGATCCAAACCAGCAAACCCCAGGCCGCCGAAGCAGAATGTGTGCACTTAACCACTGAGACACCAGGGCCGGCTCCTGTTTGGTAGTTTTTAACAAACCTTCAAGTATACATGAATTACCCTCCCAGGTATTGGTGTCTAAGAAATAAAAACATATGTCCCCCCAAAAAGGAGGTTTATTTATAATAGCCAAACCTGGACACATCCTATATATATATCAACATGAGAATGGATAAACAAATTGTGGTATATTCACACAATGAGATACTATTCTGCAGTAAAAATGAAAGAATAAATTTATGATGCACACAACATGGATAAATCTCAAATCATCATGGTGAACAAAGGAAACCAGTTATAAAAGAAAACCCATATGACTCTGCTTATATGAAGTTCTAGAAAAGTCAAAATTAACGTGTAGTGGTAAAAATAAAGACACTGATTACCTTTGGATGGTGAACATTCACAGGAAGGGAGCATAAAAGAACTTTTCATGGGATGAAAAGTTTCTACATATTTATTGGGGTGATAGTTACATGAATATAAATATTCAGCAAAACTCATTTGAACCATACACTTAAAATCTGTGCATGTCACCTGTATTGTACCTCAATTTTAACAAATTAAAAAACTCTAAAAATATAATGAAAGATTTTTGGGTTTTTCCTACTCATTTTATGTAAAACATTGCTCTATATGTTGGGTGTGACATTGACAAGAAAAAATAAAAGCATGGACCATGTCTTCAAGGAGTTTACAATTAAAAACAATAGGGGTAATTTGGTATGAGTATCAAGCATATGGAAAATGTTGTGGTAGAAATAAGTCCATCAACAACCTTTCATAAAACACAACTCTCCCCAAAATATCTTTAACTCCTCTTGAAAAAGTTAATTGATTCATATATAATTTTAGGCATCAGTTCACCAAATCTCTTTGATATGTTTTTAGCCCAAATTAGTTTGTATGTAAAGAAATCTACAATAGTAGCCAATAACTCTTTATAAATTTTAATTCATGAGTTGTTAAAAATTTCTTCTACAAATGTCCTACAAATATTTGACCAGCATATTTTTCACATTCCATTGACACACATAAACTCTCAATGACCCTGATTAACAGCAAGTATAGCAGCAGCATAGTTTCTAAGTGGTAAGGGCTAATCCAAAAACTGTTTCTATATGCTTATGCAATGTATTATGCGACTGTTTCAGGAATGGGAGAACAAATCCTCATAATTTTATATTTTTAAGATTATTATCAAAATTCATTCATATTTCTTAAATTAGGGGCAAGAGATGATGTTCCGAAAATGTCCGGGAATATGACATTCAAAGTTTGATATGGAAAATACTTAGAAAATTAGGGATTGACTGTACTGAGTATCACCTTAATAGTTGAACAGCAAATGTTCTGATTGCTTAGTTGGTCCACATTGTTCAACAAATTTTCCATGCTTTGAAGTTTCTATAACTCATTATTAAGTGTTTTGTTAATGCTATCAGTTAAATCTCATACTTTGAAACAGCACTGTTACATTTAGAAATAGCAGAAAGGTTATATTAAATGTGAATGTCACACCTGTGCTACAAATCTGTACGTGCAAAGGAAAAGCATTGCATTTAAGGATGAGGTGAGATCTAGAAAACGTCAAATGATAAGAGATATTTTCATAATTGGGATGATTTTCCTGTAAGATGAGTAAAAACTCAATGATACATGTAAATTGCTCAAAATAATATTTTTCTTCATGTACATACATCTGTAAATACTAATACATAAGAGTAAAGAAAAGTGGGAACAGATGTATTTCACTATCTTCCATTATTTAGCATACTACTTACAGAAATGTAAGTGGAGGTATAGCAGAGATATATCCAATTATGATTATGAAAAGAAAGCAATATTATATGATTTCCCTGTAAGTAGAATTAAATCGATGTCACAAAGATATCATTTATGATACATAATCTTATCCTTTCATTCCCCATCAGCTGGCATTATAGAGAAGTAGCAACCATTGATTGAATGCAATTGGAAATAACAAGGATACCAACATGTTGGAAGGCTGACATCTTGTCAGCATGGAATGTTTTCTTGTTGACTTTTTCCTGAAGTTAACGAAAATAATATCACTCAAAAGTACTTCATATATTTAACATAGTGGTATTCTTCTAAGTCAAGCTTTGGTGAAAACATCACTTTGAAAAATGATGAAGAAGGAGAGACTTCTGGCATGATGGCTTGAAAAGCTTGGCAGACCTGCCTTCCAGAGAAACTGGTAAAAATTATAAATAAAAACAACCATTTAAAATATCTGGAAGTGGTTCTAAGGACATACAGCAGATCAAGAAACATTTATTCAAGAAAATCTAAAATTCATCAAGAACAGCATGAGGCTGTGGTATTTGAAACAAGACCTGCTCACCACCTCCCACCTCCTAACTCAGCAAGATGGAAACTCCACTTGAGGCTGGTGCATCAAAGTACATGGGGCTTTCTCTCCCCTCAGCTCCCATTTAGAGGGCTATCTTCCATGAAGGCAAAACATCTGCATTTCTCATTCTGCCCCTGGCTACCTGTTGCTGAGGCTAAATTCAGGGTGAATGTGGTGGGAGGTGGGACTCTCTTCTCCAGCCCAACTCCTACTCATGGAACAGAGGCTCTAGCTTAGACATGATACTGCTGACAACACTGGGACCTCAATTGCCCTGGCCCAGCTCATAAAGTGGTGATTTTGTTTTAGGAGAGGTAAGCTGAGAAGATATGAGGCTACTGTATCCCCTCCACTGAGGTCTCATCTGCTAAAGCAGGGGTGTGACTCAGAGAGAAGCATGCTATTGTCCCCAACCCCTAGTGCCATCGCTGAGGCTCAGAAATTTTGCCTGGGGACAGAAGAGGCCATAGAAGATATAGTTTCTAATTTCCTTCAGAAGGAATTGACTTCATTTGCAACAGAGTATGAATAAGTTCAAGCCTAAAGACACTCTTAAAAATAGTGAAGGCTTTGGTGAAAGGAAATTAAGAGGAGATTGATATATTTATTGGACAAATACAGGTTACAACTATAAGCCACCTAGATTGCCCTAAAGAACTGGGGAAAGAGACAGCTGGAGGGAGTTGCCTGAGGTCAGAACAAATCTCAACACTGATTCAGGAACAAGCTCTTCAAAGAAGCTCAAATTTTATTGGCTTAGTGTGTGGAGCAAATCATTCCCCAAGAAGTTTTTGCAAATCATAGGACAATCAGTGAAGCTTAAAATCTGTGTGGGGTGCTAAAAAGAGACAAGACAAAGAGAACCAAGTCTGTGAGAATTGGTAAAGGTGCTTTCTTAGTCTCATGTGCAGACACTGACACAGAGATTCAAGGAAAATAAAGAAACAAGGAAATATGTTCCAAATAAAAGAACAAGTTAAATCTCCAGAACCCAACCCTAATGAAATACATTATGTGATTTACATCACAGAGAATCCAAAATAATTGTCATAAAGATGTTTGCCAATCAGGAAATCAATGTATGAACAAAGTGAGAATTTCAACAGAGAGATAGAAAATGTCAAAAAGTACCAAACAGAAATTATAGAGCTGAAGAATATAATTATTGAACTAAAAAATTCAATAGAAAGTTTCAACATCAGACTGGATGGATCAGAAGAAAGGATCAACAAACTTGAAGACAGATCATTGGAAGTCATCTAGTTAGAGGAGCAAAAAAGAAAAAAGAATTTAAAAAAAGAGTGAAAATAGTTTACCAAGCTTAAGGGAGATAATCAAATGGACCAATATGCACATTATGTATGCCCCCAAAGGATAAGAGAGATATAAAGGACTGGAAAGCTTATTTAAAGAACAATGGCTGGGGGCCAGCCCAGTGGCATAGCAGTTAAGTTCACACGTTGTGCTTTGGTGGCTTGGAGTTTGCTGGTTCAGATCCCAGGCGTGGACCTACGCACCACTTATCAAGCCATTGCTGTGGCAGGCATCCCACGTATAAAGTATAGGAAGATGTGCACAGATGTTAGCTCAGGGCCAATCTTCCTCGGCAAAAGGAGGAGGATTGGTGGTGGATGTTAGCTCAGGGCTAATCTTCCTCAAAAGAAAAGAAAAGAAATGATGGATGAAAATGTCCTAAATACAAGTAAGGAAATAAACATCTAGATCCAGGAAGCCCAAAAATATCCCAAATAAGATGAATCAAAAAAAAATCCACACTGAGACAGATTGTCAAAAGTCAAAGACAAAGAAAGAATCTTGAAAGCAGCCAGAGAAAATGACTTGTCTCCTGCAAAGAAACCCCCAATGCATATCAGTGTATTTTTCAGCAGAAACCTTGCAGGCCAGAAAGGAGTGGGGTGATATATTCAGCATTGAAAGAAAAAAACACTGCCAACCAAGAACATTATACCCAGCAAAGCTGTCCTTAAAAAAAAAATGGAAAGATAAAAATTTTCCCTGGCAAACCAAAGCTAAGGGGATTTATCACTATTAGGCTTGCTTTACAAGAAATGCTAAAGGGAACTCTTTGAGTTGAAAAGAAAGGACATTAAACAGCAACATGGTAGCATAAGAAAGTATGAAACTCATTGGTAAAGGTAAATATATAAATAAACACAGAATATTAAATTACTGTAATGGTGGTGGGTAAATCACTTTTAATTCTAGTACAAAAATTAAAAGACAAAAGTATTTTTTAAAGGAAAAACACATTCCTCCTGTATTTCTCCTCTACCCACACACTCCTAATACTTCCAACACCAGATGTGTGGGGTTTTTACACATAAGCAGTTCTGTGCAATGCCAGCAGGGTGTGCTACACTTTAACTCAATTCTGACATTTTCTACCTGGAGATAGCGTCAGAATGCACAGGTTAAGGGCTCAGTCCCACAAGGCTGCCTCCCCTGAACTTCAGATGGCAGTTGTAAGTCCCAGGTCGTCACCTGCACTTCTGACCAACCAGCTATAAATCAGGGTTCCTATGACGCCCCTGCTTGGGTTCAACAATTTGCTAGAATGACCTGCAAAGCTGAGGGAAACATTTACTTACATTTACTGGTTCATAATAAAGGATATGATAAAAAAATATGAAGGGATAGCTAGAAAAGAAATACATAGGGCAAGGTCCAGGAGGGTCTTGGGTACAGGAGCTCCTGTCCCTGTGGAGTTGGGGTATGCCTCCCTTCCAGTATTTAGATGTGTTCAGCCACCCAGATGCTCCCCAAAACCCATATATTGGGATTTTTATGGAGGCTTCATCACATAGACATGATCAATTACTAACTCCATTTGCAGTTCCTCTTCCCTCTCTGGAGAATGGGGGGAGGAGGGCTTAAAATTCCAAGCTTCTCATCATGGCTTGGTTTTTCTGGTGAGCAGCGTCCATCCAGGAGCTCACCAAGAGTCATCTCACTAGAGCGAAAGACACTCCTATCACCCAGGAAATTACAAGAGATTTAGGAGCTCTGTGTCGGGAGCCTGGACTGAAAACTAACATTAAAATCAAAAGATTCTCATAGTTCTCTTGTCATTTAGGAAATTACAAGTATTTTAGGTGCTCTGCGTCAGGAACTGGGGTCAAAGACTAAATGTCAGAACTAAAAATTCTCTTGGTACCTCTATTTACAAGAGTTCTGGGAGATCTGTGTCAAGAACCAGAGGCAGATACATATATACATATATGTATATGTGTATATATTCCATATTATTTCACAGTATTAAAAATAATTATAATTAAAAATATGTTAATGGTTACGCAATATAAATAGATGTAAATTGTGACATCAATAACATATAATGTGGGATGGGAGAAGTAAAAGCGTAAAGTTTTTATGCAAATGTAGTTAAATTGTTATTAGCTTAGTATAGACTATTATAACTAAACAGTTATAACTAAACAGTTATTTATTTATTTTTTTAAAGATTGGCACCTGAGCTAACAACTGTGGCCAATCTTTTTTTTTTTTTTTTCTGCTTTATCTCCCCGAATCCCCCCTGGTACATAGTTGTATATCCTAGTTGCAGGTCCTTCTAGTTGTGGCACATGGGATGCCACCTCAACGTGGCCTGACGAGCAGTGCCATGTTCGCGCCAGGATCCGAACCCTGGGCCGCCTCAGTGGAGCACACAAACTTAACCACTCGGCCATGGGGCTGGCCCCTATAACTAAACAGTTATAACTAACTGTTATAACTAAAAAATATTTTAAGTAAGGCCCATGGAAACCACAAAGAAAAGACCTATAGAAGTTACACACAAAAAAAGAGAAAGAACTCAAAGCATGTCAGTGCAAAAACACCACAATGACACACAAAGGACTACAGCAAGAAAGAAAAAGAGGGACAAAAGAACTACAAGACAAACAGAAAACAGTTAATAAAATGGCAGTAGTAAATCATTCCATATCAATAATTACTTTAAATGCAAATGGATTAAACTCCCTAATCAAAAGATATAGAGTGGCTAAATGGATAAAAAAACAAGATCCAACTATATTCTGTCTACAAGAGGCTCACTGTAGATTTAAGGCCACATATAGTCTGAAAGTAAAGGGATGGAAAAAGCTATTCCATGCAAATGGTAATCAAAAAGAGAGCAGGAGGGGCTATATAAGACTTATATAAAAAGAACTTTAAATCAAAAACTGTTACAACAAAGAAGAACATTATATAATAATAAAAGGGTGAATCCACCAGAAAGACACAATAATTATCAATATATATATGCACCTAACATGGAGCACCTAAATATATAAAACAAACATTGACAGAATGGAAGGAAGAAATAGAAAGCAACACAATAATACTAGAAGACATTGATACCCCGCTTTTGATTATAGATATACCAACCAGGGAGAAAATCCACAAAGAAACAGTGAATTTGAATAATATCACAGACCAAATGGACCCAACAGATGTATACATAACTTTCAAGGCAACAATGGCAGAATATACATTCTTTTCAAGCACACATGGAGCATTCTCTAGAATAGATCATGTTACCTCACAAAATAGATCTAAACAAATTTAAGAAGATTGAAATCATACCAAGTATCCTTTCTGACTACAGTGGAATGAAACTAGAAATCAATAGCAGAAGAAAAACTGAAAAATTCACAAATAAGTAGAAATGAAATAACACAGTTTTGAACAGTGAGTCAAAGAAGAACTCAAAAGGGAAATTAGAAAATATCTTGACACAAATGAAAACAAAAACACAGCATACGAAAACTTATGGAAGAAGGGATGGAAGTTTATAGCAATAAATGCCTGTGTTGTAAAGAAATAAGATCTCAAATAAACAACCTAACTTTACATCTCAAGGAACTAGAAAAAGAACAAACTAAGCTCAAAGTTAGCAGAAGGAAGGAAATAACAAAGATTAGAGCAGAAATAAGTGAAATAGGGACTAGAAAAACAATAGAAAACAGCAATGAAACTAAGAGTTGGCTGAAAATATAAACAAAACTCACAAACCCTTGGCTATACTAAGAAAAAAAGAGAAACACTCAAGTAAATAAAATCAGAAATGAAAAAGAGACATTATACCTGATGCCATAGAAATAAAACGGATCGTGTCTTAGTCTGTTCAGGCTTCTATAACAGAATACCATTGACTGGATGGCTTATAAAAGACAGAAATATGTTTCTCACAGTTCTGAAGACTGGAAATCCAAGATCAGGGTGCCCGCATGCTAGGGTTCTTATGAGGGTCCTCTTCTGGGTTGCAGACTGCTGACTTATCTTTGTACCTTCACATGGCAGAAAGCAGAGTGTGGAAGCAACCTGTTTCCTGATTCTTATAGGGGCACTAATCCCTTTCATAAGTGTTCCATCCTCAAGACCTCATCTAATCCTGATTACTTCCCCAAAGCCCCACCTCCTAATACCATCACATTGAGGGGTAAGGTTTCAACCTATGAATTTTGGGGAAGACACAAACATTGAACCCATAACAGATTATGAGACTATTATAAACACTTATACATGAATAAATTGGATAATCTAGAAGAAATGGATAACTCTTAAAAACATATGACCTATTAATACACAGGACCTTTTCAATAGAAAACTTGAATAGACAAATAAGAAATAAGAAGATTGAATTGGTAATCAAAGACGTCCAAACAAGGAAAAGTGCATGATGAAATGGCTTCTCTGGTGAATTCTAGCAAACATTAAAAGAAGAAAGGACACTAATCCTTCTTAAAGTCTTCCAAAAAACTAAAGAAGAGGAAACACTTCCAAACTCAGTTTTTGAGGCCAACATTACCCTGCTACCAAAGTCAGGCAAAGACACTACAAGAAAATAAAATTATAAGCCAATATCTCTGATGAACATAGATACAAAAATCTTCAACAAAATGCTAGTAAAGTGAATTCAACAGCTCATTAAAAGGATCATACACTATGACCAAGTGGTATTTATCCCTGGGATGCAAGGATGGTTCAACATACTCAAATCAATTAATGTGATAAGCCACATTAACAGAATGAAAGATAAAAATCACAAAATCATTTCAATAGATGCAGAAAAAGCATTTGACAAAATTCAAAACCCTTTCATGATAAAAAAAAAAAAACTCACAACATATTAGTTGCGGAAGGAATTTACCTCAATACAATAAAGCCCCTAACTGGAAAGTCTACAACTAACAGCATATTCAATGGTAAAAAGTGGAAGCTTTTCCTCTAACATCAAAAACAAGGCAAGAGTAGGTATTCTTAGGAAACAATGCAAAGCAATGGTAATAAAGACAATGTAGTATTGGCATAAGAATAGACATATAGATCAATGAAATAGAGTTGAGTGTCCAGAAATAAAACTATGTGTACAGTATCAACTGATTTTCTATAAGGTACCAAGACCATTCAATGGGGAAAGAAAAGCCTCTTCAACAAATGGTGATGGGAAA